CGCACAACCCCCGACGGCCCCTCATCCCGAAGCGCGGACCGTACCGGAGAGGAACCGCTGAAGATTCAACTGATGCCGCCCTCGACATTGAGCGCGACACAGGCGCCGCAGTGAGACGAGCGACTGCACCCGGTCGACGAAAGGCCAACTGAGGGGCCCTGACGCGGCGCGCCCTCCCTGATCACAGGAAAACAAAGTTGATAAATAAAGTTGAAACAAAGCGGAACAGAAGAAGAAATTAATTTTTTACCTGCCACAGGCCTACGGCCATGCCTCTTCTAGAAAGACGCCAATGTGCGTATCCCCACCATATGGGGGAGTACGGCCTCAACCCACTCACGTATCCAAGATAATGGGGCCGGTGGCGACCTGTCGGCTACAAAAACAACGCGAGTTAACGCTTGTGATCACAAATCATAGAGAGGGGAAGAAAAGGGAACTCAACCACTAAAGAATTTACGCGCATGGTTCCAAGCCTCTGGGAACCCAGTAGCATCCGCCACCAGATGCTTGGTCCTGATGTAAAAGAAGTGCTCGAAAGGGCGAGGGTCGACCTCGTCATCCAATCTCATGACCAGGCCCCTCGACCCACGAGGGCACGCCTGAATCATGGTGCCACGGACTCTCTGGGGAGCGTAGAGACTCAGCACATGCTGCAGCGTGACCTCCCTACGGGCCAATTCCGCGTACTTGATGAACATTGCCAACAATTTGTAGAGGGAAGGAGTGAGCTGACCCGGGCACACCCCGTAATAACGGCAGAAATCCACCACCAGCATTGGGAGCGGGATCTTGAACCCCAACCTGAAAGGATAGGCATAAAAAACGCAGTATCCCCTGCGGTCGGCGTGGACCCTCTCCTCGCTTCTAGCAAGAACGATGTCTGCATGGGTGGGAATGACCCCCTGTTCCCGTAATCGGGCCATCCCAATCTCCCCCATTAACGGGGCTTCATCCACCGGTTCCACTCCACCGTCGACAGTGAAATCAATCGCCGGACCTCCGGGCCGAGGAACTACCTCGTCAACCGACGGAACTTCTCCGGTCTCTATCTGTTCTGCACCTCCCATTGCCGGAGGTGGCCCTTCAACTACCGGAATGTCTATCGAAAGAGCATCGTGGAAAGAACTGCCTGTCATTGTTGATCTACTAAAGACAAAGGTTATCACAATCAAAGGAAAGAAAGGAGAAGATGAATTTGCAGAATGAAAAAGTTTCCTCAAAATCTCTCTCAGATGAACAATGAAGATATGAGAAATGAATGCCTCAACCCACCTTTATAGGCAACATAAATGGCTTTCGCGAAACCCAATAGCCATCATTAACCGCACGACCAACCGTAAAACGGTTCGGTTCTGCCGAAGCAAGCGTCATTATGACAAGCTCCGCAAAGCGACTTCTCAGCCATCCGCCAAACGTACCGCCGTCAGAATAATCGCTACGGCCTGCGAACATTGAAAGAATGTGCCGTACGCCTTCAAAATTCTGGACGTGACCAAATACGTACCCGGCGCATACTCATTCGCTACGGCCATCTCCAACGTGTAAACGGCTAAGGCCGCCGCCGAGCACGTATCAAGCGTGCCTTCATACTCCTCGGCCGCACAACATACGACCCGTCCGCCACGGCCGACGGGTATGCTTCCAAAACAAACGTAGGGATCAGAGCACAATGCAGCTCGACCTCACTCGAAGTAAGTTAAAAGGGTGCCTTCGCCCAGAAGGAGAGTTCGACCTCGATCGAACGATGACTCGATAGCCCAATAACAGGATACTAATGCTCTACAAGGCTAACGGCTATCGCCAAAAAGAATTTGGCTTCGACCGAAGCAACAGTCGACATCTCCATCCGCGTTTCTCGAAATACAGCCAATGGAATCCGCTCATCGAGCTCGGCCAAGGCCCGACCTCAATAAGCGGAGGGACTAACTGTATGGGTCAGAATTCGACCCCACGATAATTAACGAGGCTAATCCCGTTTTAAGTTAATTCATGATTAATTAATGGCACGACCACTCAGAATTGACGATGTTCAACCCGCATCTGGTTCGATCGACAAGGCCATGGCCTATCCGCCACCATAAAGGCGAGATCCCAACGTGGTCACGGCCACTTATCGCCAGATCACGAAGCCCACAGCTATAAATACCCAAAGAGGGAACCCTAGAAAAGGGGGGCTGCTTCTTCACCACTATTGACAAGAGAGAGAAGAGAAAAAATATACCCATCTTATGGGAAGAGAAAACACCATTGTAAGGCTCTGAACCTCTTCATGGAGAGGCAGACCAAACAAATGTTATCAATAAAGGTTTCTAATGTTTCTCCCCCTAATCATGAGTACTCATTTTCGTTTCTTTCGTTTGGTCCAACGGATTATTACGATTTGCTATGATTTTCCCGTGACTCATTTGTATTGTTTTATACTCATAAGATATGTAATAACTTTTGAGCAAACAACTTTGTTGGAGCAGTCAAGAAAAATTTGGTATCATATACAAGTCAGTGAAAACCAATAATCACTAGCAACTGAGAAAATAACAAGAAGAATTTTATATTGCACTATGCTCCTAAAGAGACGAAAAATGTTCTAACCAAACTGTGAATGAAGCATAAACAAAACAAAAAAAAGACAACTCCTTAGCGTCAAAAAGTATATTGAGAAGTAAACCTGCACATCAATAAAAAAATATGTGTAAGAGGAAACCATACATTGTTGCTTCATGGAGTAAAATTAATATCAGATTTAATCAAAGAACTGAAAATATAGCGCCCATTAGCAGTTACAGCATACAGTTTCGATCATTTCTTGAAGTATTTCTATAGAAGGATATAGGATTGCAACCATTTGCTACATGAGACTACAACTTAGCTTATTTGATGAAAAAAAGTGGTGAAGAACATATATATATAGGATGCCAAAATCAGTTGGACCTTGATTAAATGGAGTAATTCTAGCTAATTACATGGTTCTTTGAACCTTTTCTTGATTTCTATAGGAGAAATGAGAATATTTGTGGGTTTCTGGATTTCGAATGAATGAGACATGTGATCCGTTGGGAGCATAAATTTCCAAATGAAGAGGAGAAATATGAATGCAGGTGAAGTTGCTCAATTGGGGTCAAGTGTTGTGGACACATTGAGAGTTCTTTTTATTTTCTTTTCTATTTCCTTGTTTCATTGCTGCATTTGGTGGGTGCAGAAGGAGAAGGGAAAGGTGCATGCAGTGAAAATAATCGTTGCTTGCATTAGTTGTAATTTTTTGGTAATTAAATTTATTATTACCGGGGAAAATAGTTACAAGTATAGTAAAAAACCCTATCAGTTATTCACTTAGATTTAGACATGCAGCCCCAAATCTAGTGTCCTCGTTAGTCGTTACTATAACTACTACTTTTGCTATAACAATCTAAGGGTAAAAATTCAAATCCTGCATTGTAAATTGTTTCTTGTTGCTTTGTTATGTACTCCAAAGACTAATTCAAGATTATAAGTTAGTGTGTATGAAATACCACTTCGCTGAGATATTATTTTCATTTTTAACCTTTTGTATAAACGGGTGTAGAATTAGTATATATATTCTTTTTTTGAAGTTTTTAAAACAATAGATATATATAGTTCTTAGCCATACCCTATACTTACATCCTTGCTTCCTATAGTGAATTAATAATCGGAGGACTCAATTTTTCTATCATCAGCTAGTATTCCCACCAGATAAATTTTTAACTCCTCCCTTTACAATAACTAGTAGTCGTACCCGCACGATGCGTGCTCAATATTAAAAAATATTAATTAAATTAAATTATGATCAGGCTTGTTTGAACATATTAGATCATATTGCTTTAATAAATTTCAATTGTCATCTTATTTGTCAATACGATATACCCAATAATAAAATCTATATTAAATTAAAAAGACTCATATAGTCATTGAATAACTTTTTTGTTCTATATTTTTCTTTATTATATTATCCAATGTTTAGTATTATTACATTTAATGAAATTTTTATTAGCATATTATTTTATTTAATATTTTTATTTGCTCGCTTTGTTTTTTTTTTGTCATATAAGAGAAGACATAAACCACTACTTTTTTGTCCCATTTTACGTTTAAATGAGCGTGGCCCATTTTTTCCATTAGTAGCTTTTGTTTTTAGTTCAAGAGAGGGTCAAACAAGTTTGTATACAAATTGCCGAACAGTATACTTTTTCTAGAATTTACCGGCTTCACAACGATTTTTGTTGGCAAGACTTTTATTATTCTTAAAAAAAATTATTTTGATTTTGAGAAGCAGATTAATCGTGATGTGATTGCATTTCTAGCAGTAATTAGTTTAGGAGGCAAATGAGGTTGTGCAGGATCCCAAAATAAAAAGAAACTACACTAAAATCTCCGTGATATAAACAGAAACAGCTTAGTAGTGCATAAGACACTATAATAAGGTCCCATTCTATCAAAGCTACGATCTTCGACAAACATCTTTGTTTTTACTGTTTGATAGTCAAACAAAAAGAAAATTAGAATAATATTGTTGTTGTGCTTGTTATAAAGCGACATTAGTTCTCTCTTTTTCCTATGATGAATATCATTTAATCAAAGATTAAAAAAAAATTAAATAAGCCTTAAATTCAGAAGAAAACTTGGGGAACATGTCCTTTCTTAATTCTCAAGAGAAAATATGTAAATGCAAACTTAACTTTGTAACTTTTAGACAGTTCCTCGATTCATTTCTACATGATCAGTTGCTTCTCCACGATTTAATTTTTTTTTTTAAAAACTAGAGATGACTTTTCTTTTCATTTTTAAATTTTATTTCCTTTTTTTTTTTAACTTAGTTGATTGGAAAAGAGGTAATCCACATGTGACGTGAGTAACGTGACCATTGGATCTTATCCATGATATCCCTAAAATTCCTCTACATCTCTCTCTCATTTTTTATTTTGACGTTGAAGAGGGACAACTAACCTCAAATATTACCGTCTATTATATAACAAACCTCTTAAGACATATATATAATTAGCAAATGCTAATTTAACTGCTGTTACAGATTTGGTAATGATCGACAGTTGGAAGGTTTTTTCTTTATTGCTATCAATGTTGTTTGTTAAAGTACTCAGCTGGATGAGAATGATGATTATCGCCAGCCACCTCCAACCACCATCCCCACCACCTTCTTCAACCTCTAAACCTTCAACTCCAAGAAAACAATTTACTAACGAACACCCTTTACCTACTTTGATCCTCAACAATAATTTATCTTATCTCCCCATTTCTTTCCTTCATTGCCTACACAATATTGGCTGCTCCAATTTTTGATTAATCTTGGGAGGGGGAAAAAAATGGATGGCATTTCAAGATTGTTGGCGCTGTCAATATTCTTTGTGATTTTGTTTGGTTTTCAAAGAGAGAATATGGTAACTATGGCTATTGATGAAGATACAAAGGCGCTTTGTAGCGTTAATCTTGCAGAATTTCTTCCTCCTCCTTATGGTGGTCTTGAAAATATGGTTTGTCAACCTGTTTGGAACTCTTTCCTGCTACGTGTAAGTTCACTTTAACATTAATTAATTATGCAAATCTCTAATATGCATTAATTAGCCTTTCAAGAATAGTCTTTAATACATAATCTAATTAAGTTGTTTAAAGTACCAATTGTACCTTCTAGTGGGTCCACACAAATCATGTCAACCTCTAGAAGATCGTCCCACTAAAAGGCAAAATGAGAAGGTAAATATTACCGAAGGCGGAGGCGCGGAGCCATAAGTTTTGCAAAGAGTATTCAAAACTTAATACTATATATTTAGAAAAAGTAATTTTTGACTTGTATACACAGTATAATTTTTTATATATTCTATATAAGTTTTAGACGAAGAGTGTTCAACTCACTCTGTGTAGCTATGCCACTAAATATTACTGTAGTTTCTAAACATATATTAAAGTTGTCAATCTTTTAGAGACGGAACAAAAAGAAATGATGTCAAACAAATTGAAACAGAGGGAATATATGATACTATCAATTAGTACATTGCAGGGAGATCAATAGCTTATAATGCAATTATAATGACTCCAACTTAATTTCTGACTACAGTACTCTCAGAGTAAAGACAATGTGATCACCATTGTGTTATCAACCATTTACACATCAGGCTGGATAGGAATGGGGTTCTCCCCAGATGGAATGATGATCAATTCGAGCTGTATGGTTGGATGGGTGACTCCAGCAGGTCATGGAAAAATCAAACAATATTATGTTGAGGGATTCACTCCCTCAAAAATCATACCAGATAAAGGGGAGCTGCCATTGACAAGTGTTCCGCCCATCATCTACGTTCAAGGTGCTACAGCTTACTTGGCCTTCCAGCTGAAGTATCCAACTCCTCTCAAAACTCAACCAATCTTACTAGCTTTCTCCACCAAATCTCCTCAGCACCACCATCTCACTGTTCATGAGGACAAAACAACCATACAATTCGACTTCTCTTCAGGTCTGGTCATCTCTGTCTCTCTAAATATCATGTATATCTTGGCATAATCGGTAAAGTTGCTGTCATGTGACCAGGTGGTTATGGGTTCGAGCCGTGGAAACGGCCTCTTGCAGAAATACATGGTAAGGCTGCGTACAGTAGACACTTGTGGTCCGGCCCTTCCCCAGACCCCGCGCATAGCGGAAGCTTAGTGCACCGAGCTGCCCTTTTTTCCAAAATAATTAACAAGAGTATCAAAATTGACACAAATACATCAAATCTGTACTTAAGCAATGGCCTTCACAATAAGCAATTCTCATTGCGTCTCCACGTCTTCTATAAAGCTTGTGCTTAGATGTTAGACCGACTTAGTTGAGATGATTTTCTCTTTCTCCTCAGGTACTTCATTTGCTGCCGCTGATACACCTATTAACTATATTAACTCAAAGAAGACCCATGGGGTATTGGGTATATTAGGATGGGGACTATTCTGTCCCTTTGGAGCAATTTTTGCAAGATACTTGAGGAGCCAACCGTTATGGTACTACTTTCATGTATCTGCTCAATACATAGGATTCATATTAGGACTTGCTGGAGTGGTTGTCGGAGTTCAACTCAACAACAGGCTGCAACCCCATATTCCAGGACATCAAGGCATAGGCATTCTTATTCTTGTGCTTAGTATTCTTCAGGTTTGTCCCTAATCTCAATCAGCAAAAATGGTATTCATAACTTGATAATTGACTGTATGCTTAAAACCTATGGGTTAGCTGCTGGAACACTAAACATGGGAGGACAGAATACAGTAGAGAAGATTGACAAACATCCTCATTCTAATGAATGGATGTCTTCTTTTAAAAAAGAAAAATGTGTCATATCTAAGGTCCCATATTTTAGGATCATAGAAGCCGCTCTAACATTCACTTTATTTTACATTCACATGCAGGTTTTGGCATTCTTTGTAAGACCAGATAAAGACAGCAAGTATCGCAAGTACTGGAATTTGTATCACGCTTGGGTGGGCAGAACTGCTCTCTTCTTTGGAGCTGTGAACATAGTATTGGGGATGCATTATGCAGGCGCAGGGGAAGGATGGAAAATAGGCTACGGATTTGTTCTCGGTTCAACAATGTTGGCATGCATCATCTTGGAAACGTTGTTAAGGCTAAAGAAGTTGGACGAACCAACTGTTCCTTCAAACTACCCTATGACTTCAATCTAGCAAAGATCTAAAAATATACATTGTTATAGGTAGACTGTGTGAACAAGTAGAACACACCCCCACCCCCCACCCCCCACCCCCACCCCCACCCCCCAACATTAAGTTCATTCACCATGAGTGCTCTTCACAAAAGTTGTACAGAATTCCGTCCCAAATATGCTTTTGTGGATGAGTTTGGATTCTGCAGGCTTAGCACATCTGAGGGCCAAAGCCTCCTTGAAACAAACTCAACACCGTTGCTAGTGCTCTTGGAAAATATCTCCTCTGAAGGACGACCTGAACTTTCCCGTCTTTATTTCACATTCTTTAGTGCTTTTGAAGGGATTACATGTATTGACAACTTTTATCTAGCAAACATTTGTTTGTGGAGATCAATAGTATAGTATCGTGACATTGAATCGGCATGTATTTCACCCTTTGCTCATCAGAGCTGTGATTAGACACCTAATATTCTTAGAACGAATGCTAGTACATGATTACTATCCAGCCAGCCTATAGGAGGAATGAAGAGATTCTACTAATACTGTAAGTAGATAAATGTGCCTCTGCAAGCTTCCTTTCTACACCATCAAAAGGGAATCCAAAAATCTCAGAATTCATTTCAAATCATGTTGGATTTGAACTTAGAGCAGAATATATTGCGTACAACTTGTAGTCCTAATCAGATCCAGATATACTTTGTTGGAGCAGTCAGAAAAATTTGGCATCATATACAAGTCAGTGAAACCAATAATTTCTAGCAACTGAGAAAATGACGAGAAGAAGAATTTTATATTGCACTATGCTCTAAAAAGACGAAAAATGTTCTAACCAAACTGTGAATGAAGCTTAACCAAAAAAAGACAACTCCTTAGCGTCAAAAAGTATATTGAGAAGTAAACCTGCATATCAACAAAAAACATGTATAAGCGGAAACCATACATTGTTGCTTCATGGAGTAAAATTAATATCAGATTTAATCAAAGAACAGAAAATATAGCGCCCATTAGCAGTTACAGTATACAGTTTCGATCATTTCTTGAAGTCTTTCTATAGAAGGATATAGGATTGCAACCATTTGCTAAATGAGACTACAACTTAGCTTATTCACTTACTCATATGTCAACACTGTACTCACTGAATTTTTTAGAATTCTACTGTATCTCAAAGGTAGATTATTCTGTTAATGTTAACCCATTGGTAGGTCGGTCCAGAAGAAGCTAGATGTATCTCTACTTTCCCAAAAGTTAAAAGGACGATTAAGCAAAGAATGATCTTTTGCCCAATTGGAAGCAGGAAAATAGCCTTGGTAAGGAGAGAACTAACCTTTAAGTCAATCTGTGGCATAGTCTGAAAGCCAACAAACATCAAAGCCATGAGAACCAGAACAGCAATAAATTCCAGCAGTCATAGTATATGACCAACAGATATGTATACTCAGCTTCAACAGACCATCCTGCTAGGGTTATCTGGTAAAAGACATAAAAACCGCCTCAAGTAGCAGTCGCTATGCCATGTTCGTGTGGATCAAAGCTGGTAGACCTGGGAACCTCTGTCTCTCTTATAACCCTGCTATATACAGCTTTGAAGGGCTGAGAGGAATATGGTCTCTTGAGCAAACTAATCGGCATTCTTAGAGTTTGTTTGCGGTTCCTCCGGCCCCGTACCAAAATGTTGAAGGTCTTCTCCTTATTAGTCTCCGTAGAATTTCTCTGCACAGCACTCTCATTTGATCCATTACCCTCTTCTGATTGATTACTGGACAAGGTAACAAAATGTGAATCTGAAGTGCTGCTTGCTCTCTCTTTTTCTGATCCAACCGCAGCTAAGCTCTCCCCCGTCTCTGATGCTGGAAGGTTTACTTCTTCCTTAACTTCATCCCCAGTGTTAAGATCTACTGGTAAGCTTGTTGCCAAAATAATGCTTTCAGGGTTATCAGATGGCTCCTTAGCAGCAGAAATTGAGTCAGTTATAGGCTCAATCACAGGTGGTGCTATAGAAAACTCGACTGGGTGGCAGCCAGGCCAAACTGTGGCAGGAACGTACTCAGATGCATTAGGAGCTATATTGCATTGCCAAGCATAATGATTCGGATGGAAATTGCTGCTGCTCATCGGGAACGTACTTGGAGGTAACGTCTGGGGTTGAGAAAACGGAGGGTACATAAAGCGCAATGGGTGCATCATGTTTGGGGTGTGCGGAGGTGAAGGGTACAGGTGATGAGGGGAGGAGCACATTGGATTGGGTAACATAGCTGGTGGTCCTTGATGAAGAGACATGTTCATTGGCCAAGGGCCAACCGGTGGTAGTGTTCCAGAAGGAGAAGGGAGATTAATGTTCATAGGTAACGGTGCTACACGGGCAACGGCTGGGGAGGGACTGAATGGTGCTGCTGAGGCGGATAGCTTTCTCGACAATTCTCGACTTGCATCACATGTAAGAGATGACGCAGCTGTTACCTTCAGATGATCCATGTCTTGCAAGGTCAAATTCGAGATACAGCTAGGATCCAAATTGCTTGATGAGTCCTTTTCACAGAGATCCACTTTGGGAGAATTGTCAGAAATAGGAACATTATGAGTCTGGACACTTCCCTGTTCCATTGGACTAACATCAACATGTCCGGGTTGAATAGATGCGTTTGCAGATATCACATCTGAGATTTCACCACCTTTGAGATCACTCAGCTGAATTTCTTCTTTGTTGTCAGTATCTTCTGTTTCATTTTGTACTTGATCAGCAGAATCTGCAACAAGATCCTGAATGTTCTCTTCCTTTATGGATTCTGCATCTCTTCTCATTGTTTCAGAATTTTCTTCTGCTCCACTGCTCTCCTCTCCAACTTTTAGAACGTCTTGATTATCAGGAACTTCATTTTCAGAAACTCTCTCCTGCAACATAGAGATGGTACCTGGCGGGGCAAGTGCCACTTCCTTATAGGAAGGAGATTTTCCTAGGTTTACGATCGAACTTCTCTTTGGTAGTGAGGCAACCTCTTTTGTTGCAGTAACTTGGACCTGCTCTGACGAAGTAGCTAACAAATCTCCTCCAGTTGTGGAGATCTCAGGAACAGCATCTCTGACAGATGATGACACAGACTTGACACGGTAGGTTACAGCTTTTATGACTCTTCGACCAAGTTTGGTACCAGGAGATTGATTTTTTGCTATGTAATAATCTGCATAACTTCCTGGTGATGTCCGTTTCTTTAAGACATAATATTTACTAGCTTGATAGTTATTCTTCAGTTTAGCATGATCAACCTCAGAAACAGAGTCCTTTTTCTGGTAACCAATGACCTTGCTGATGGTTTGCCGCCTCTGCCTTCGTCTTCGTCCATAGAAACCACCTGACCTTGGTCTCTGCACTGACTGCCATCCATCTTCTGCTTCAGCAGAAGGTTCAGATAAGACTTCACGGACAACAGGCTTCTCAATTGAAGCTTCCTTCACCAAATGAACGGGTTTGTCCTCAGCAATTTCTTCATCTCCATTGTGATGGGATTTAACTACTGTCTCAACGGGTTCCAAATTCATCTTGGGATCAGTATGATCTTCAACAATTTGTTTCTCCTCATCTGACTCTTCTTTTAGGACATCTTTAGGAGTGTCGGAGTTTGGTGAGGTAACATTGCTTTGATCAGATTGTCCCTTCACCTGAGATATAAAAGCCTGAAAAAAAAAATGAGAGAAAGAGAAAGGATAAGAAAAGCGGAGCTGATCCACTTAACAATCTACAGAGCATTGTTTGCACGTTTCGTTTGAAAGCGTGGTAGGTAGTTATCAGGCATATGCAATGTCAGCCTCAAGTTTCAAACTACATTGCATACTTAGGAAGAAAGGAAAGGCAAACAGATCTTAGAGAGCCAGAAAGATGTCAAAGCTTCTTTTTTTAGATTGGTAACATTGTCATACATATAAAGTCAGCAAAAACACTTGAGCTGCTAACCAGATACATCTCCCAAAATTACAAAAGGATCCCCCTAGAAATATGTCAAAGCTTCTAAACAGTACCAGTTCTCTTTTAAACTATTTCACTCATTCCCTCTTCTCTTCCAGACTGGTATTACAGATGGTAGACCTTCCAGAAATAACTTAATTGCTACTGCTTATTTATAACAAGTTTTCATAAGATGAACGACTTCGTCCAAGCTTATTTCCATTGACCAATTCATGCTGATAAGTATTGGAAAATCATAAGCAAGAAAGAAAGATATTGTATTCTAAGCATCACGTACCTTTGAGACAAAACCTTTTCTTTTTGATCCAACATCTCTCCCTTTGGCATCAGGACTTGGATTGATGTAGTCAAGCAAATCTGACACACTGCGTAACAGGGTATATCACCACAAGATTAAAGCTGAAATATTTTACTAACTGATCTCTAGAGTATGGCTATCCGCTAGTACATTTTTGTGAAATGCTATGTGCATAAAAATTTATGCAATTACAAGATCCCCAGGAAACATAAAACTTTTACAATGGAAGCCACTGAACATTGTCCTTCCTAGAAAAATTCATATTCCTAAAATTGAGGATCTTAAAGCAAGAAAGACACACCAAATGGAGTGTCATAACAAACTCAAAATACATAGATGGATTGCAGGCGTTGATGCAATAAAATAATCAGGATGCCTTTGAGCATAATTGAAGAGACAGCACATGAAGGCATAGTGAACACATCCTCTAATTTCAAAGCAAAAGGACTAGGCAGTGGGCAAAAGAAAAATCAAACATATGCTCCGGAAGACAATGACGATTCAAGTCCTTCGGTGATTACAATAGCTTGCGGTCTAATAAGAGCTAGGACAGAAATTAAGGTTGTCTGTTTTACTCATTAAGTCTACTAATAAATTTAAAATAAGCAATACATGCAATATACCTCAAATGACCCTTGCTGGCTATTGATGCATCAGGCTTCTTGGTTCCATTCCGAGCAGCTTCTTGCTGTTCAAAAGCCTTTGACTCAAAATACTCAAGCCATGCAGCAGCATCCTTCAGCAAAGATCAGAACAATTTAAAATTATGAATATACTTGGCTGAAGTAAAAACAAAATAGCCATAATATTACTAGAGAAGCCTACATCATATTTCTAGTATCGTCACTTAATCCATCACTTAGTCACCAAAAAAGAAATGTCATGCCATTTAAAGACAACCTAATTGGTATAGACATCTGGAGTTGTACTTTTAGTAGTTTACCCTGAAGAAGCTTTGTCTGTGTAAAGCATTGGTTGATATTCATTTGAGGTAATATAATACAAAAGAAAAGAAAGTAACAGTGCCAGTAAAATGCAACTTGTTCATCTGTCTTTTTTCTGGAGCAAAAGAGTGGGCCTAGTGATTGTGTACATGTGCATGAGACAGAAGTTAACCTGAGTGCGAAGATCATCTGGACCAAGCTTTGCTCGGAGTATCTG